TAGCCAGGAGCCTGCCACTAATAGGGTTAAGAATGGCTGCCAATTTGAAGGCTGTTCAATGACCGCGATTCTCTGGGCAATGTTAGCACTGGTGGATGGTTGTTGTGATGGTTTGCGTCGTTGGCTTCTCGTTCTTACTTCCCGTTTGACCTTTGCAATAATTGATATGGCCATCAACACCATGGCACGTTGTTTGCAATATTCGGTTCTCTGTCTATTCTCGCCCTCAATGTTGGTGGTGATGCAGCCAAAGAACGTGAGTTGGCACTCAAGATATCTTGTGATGAAATCCAGAGTTTCATTCGGGTCGCACTTCGTTTCCATATGTGCAAAGGCTCGACCAAACTAAAACACAATTAAACATTTATTTCCTCAACTAAACATTAAGGAGGTCTACAGTGTTACTTCCAGCGAATCGCGTAAAACTGTTTTTCTCCCCCATCCCTTTCCCACGCACTCCCATTCACACGCTGAAACCCCCTCTCTCCACAGCAGACTCAGCGCTGCTGCGCGCGCCCGTGCTGCTGCGGCCCCTCGCTGACCACACGGTCCGTCCGGGAGCCGTCACCCAGCTGCGGCTGATTGTGGACGCCCTGCCGCCACCCTCGGTCACCTGGTACAAGGACGGCCGGCAGCTGGAGCCGCGGCCCGACGCGCCCTACGCCATCTCAGAGGACGGAGGGGTGTGCACGCTCTCACTGCCGAGAGCCCATCCCGGTGAGTGCGACCACGGGAAAGGTCTCCTTATCGGAACAATGCTTGCCAGAAACTAAGCGACTAATGTCATGAAGAGCACCAGTACCCCATGACTTGATTAATTAGCTGCGGTGAACTTGGCACAGCGGCCTTTACCGTGTTAGGAGCCAATTCGATATGCTAATTTCGAATCCCCATCGTCATCATTTGCCTCTGGCAGCCGTAACTGACGCCCCATGATCCGATTCCGAAAAATAATGTGGCATGTGGTCATAAAACGCCACGGAGCCGTCAGCATGCGAGGCTAGCCACTCCATTAGCCAGAAAGACGGCACAAATGACGGACACTCTAAATTCTTCGGTAAATGAGCTACATGTGCGTACGTGTTGTAGGTTGCGGCTCCCCAAGAAAGCACTACCCATATAGTAAGAGAATCTTCTACGATAAATATGATTCGATTTCGTCTGTAGTTACTGATGCCGATCCCCTACGCCGATAGAAATCCCAACTCACTATCAGTCACCTGCGACGCTCCAGTTTCGCTGCCAAGTGCATGGGATGTTTACCTTTCTCAGCCAATGACGCTTTGTATCGCAGCCAATGACGCTAAATCTCTCCCCTTGCCCACCCCCTGTTCCAGACGACTCTGGGGTCTACTGCTGTGTCGCCGCCAACCACCTCGGCTCCGTCTGCAGCGAGGCGCTGCTGGCCGTCGCAGGTGAGCTCTAGACTCCTCCCTCTCTCTCTCCGTCGTCCCACTGCCTCCTCCCGGTCGGCGGGAGGTCCTCTCCGAGGCTGGTCAGACTCGTTGCGCAGTGGATGTCGGTTTATAGCTGCGCTGCGCGGTGACGAACGTTTCGCGGCGGCTGATATGGTGATTACGTTGTGATGGCGGTCGGTCGAATAACTAGCTTGTGATGATTGGTTGAATTATTGGTAAAGAATAGCGGCTTGTCGAACGATACTGTGACAAAGGGGCTGTCCGAAATCTCCGCGGCGGTGACGGCGGCCGGCGGATCGCGTCCCGGCGTGGGAAAAACTTTCACGAACGGTGGAATCTCTGCGCACTGTGCGCTGGCAACAAAGACGATACGGAACGCTCGCTTGCGGCTTAGACTTTTTAGACAGCTTCTAGTCAGGACTAGACATAGTCGTAGACGATGCATCTAGCGCTCGGTGCTTGCGGCTGCTGTGGTGACCTCGTGTGAAGGTGTGTTCGATCGATAACATGTTGCGTGTAGAGCGTGCGTGGAGCGTGGTATTTGGACAGCGACCTGGTCGCATTCGGTGATGTAAATAGCACGGCGGTGCCGCGCTGCCTCGTGATACGCGCCGAGCCTCGTGACTGCTTGTGATTGACTCTGCATCTCTGGCCTTTGGTGACCTGTCGTGGCCCAGGTCGGCCCTCGGGTCGACCTGACGTCCGTCTATGCCGGTACTAATCAAATAAATAACTCACGTGGCAGGCCGTCAGCGCCGCTCGGCGGCAGCTCGGCGAACTACTGGACTGAATAAACGTTCACAAACACTCGCTGCTTGCGTTCTTGGTAGAGGACAGGGATGCATGGCTCCTCAAAGCGCATTCTGTTCTCGGAATGAACCTTTTTCTTTTTTTCTATAGACAACGCATTCTTGTAGCGAGGTTAGTCGTACAGTGTGGGACACTTTAGACTGTAGAATAAACCTGACAAGTTGCATGTCCGCATATTTGCAGAGGAGTCCTGCAACTTTCTGGCCTCGCAGAGGAAGGCTCGATGAAATGAAAAGAAGTGACACAATGGCAAATCCTCTGAGTTTTACAGAGGATTTCCACAATCCCACTTAAGATCGTATTTTCTCTTCTTGTTCAATACCACCATCACCGTTAAAGAGCGCCTTAAAATGCTGTCTCACTTGGATAAACACGTAAACAAATATATGTAAAAAGTCCCTAATATCAACAATAGGATGGGATAGGGCTATTGACCCTGGGCCAGATTTTCAGCTAACACGTTCATTGGGAGAAGGTAAGTGAGCGACGCTTAGAGTGCTTTAGCTTCCAGGCCTCGGCATGAACTAACACACTCTGCCACGCAAGGTATGCACGTCTGTCTCAGCCATTCCACTAATATCTTCCGGTGCTTTTGTAGCCCTCTTACGCCTCACTTACCGCGCGGTCCGCCGCTCTCACCAGGACCCGTTTTCAGCGGGCTACCGTAAGACGTCATCCGTATTCTATATTAGCTTTCAGAAGCGCACGTCACCCGCTTTATCAGCGAACATGGCGTCAAAGCTTGCAGCTTGTTTAGTTTCGGCAACGTTGAAATGTTCCTTCGTAGGTCTGCACCGCTATGAGCCGTACATCATTTGGTGTGTGAATTTGATCATGTGAATGGTTGCCATTGTTGATGCGCTTTCAGTTCATCTGCTGCGCCTTTGCGCCCTTCCTTGCACTCGTCTGTCTTGTGTTTGATGCAGTATTTGCTGGCCGATTCCGTCGTAGCCGCTTCTGCTTCAGTGTGCGCCGCGTAGATTTCGCAGCATGGTGGCTTGGTGTTCGCGTGTTCATCTCTCCAAGACGACATAATCTGCTCTACCGGCCGCTCCAACTAGACTCGTCGTCCGTTCGTCTCTGAAGACTGGGCCGGATGTCGCAGCCAGCTACGGACCCCTGGCAGCATCTGAGTAGTCCCAGCATCCCAGTAGCAGAGACATGGCTTTTTAGCAGTGGAGCAATAGAAAATACGGTGCAACGAAGGATACCACTGAACAAAATGTAAAAACCGATTATCATCACAAGTCTGAAGTACTTCCTCGCACAAATGATTTTCATTTTGGTTCAGGACGTGCTGACCCATGAATATCGCCGGATCAGGTTCAGGAGTAATTTGAAAAGGCTCTGGCCTCTGGATTTCAATTGGTTGGGGCTTCTTATCTTAAATATAACTTTGAATTTTGTTGAAAAGGTCATCATTCCCTACCGTCGAAATTTGTTGCATCCATTTCAAAGTTTTCAATTACCCAATATCAATGTATGTAATATAAGCATAGGTAGGAACACGAAAGCTAAACATGCAAGTCGAGATTAGCATATAGGTTAGAGAGCATATGTTGCAATCTTCATATAATTGGTGTAATTGTATATTATGTTGGCACACCTCTTGCTAAAAATCAGGACAAAAGAAGAGGTAATCAGATCATATACCTAATATTAGTCGAATCGCTGTGACAGGTTTCATGCAACTGACATATTTATGACTCATTTCGTGATTATCATAAGCAATAAGCATAGCTCTCAGTGTAGGTACTGACAAACATGCAGTGATGTATAAAATGACATGGTTTAGATTTAAAACTTACGAATAGTCCATAAACTCCGCACCAATTTCGGGAGACAGTTACGTCGCATAAGAAAATAGCATGTCGTGCGGTGCAGCATCCTCCCAGGCGCACCGATGGCAGAGCCATCTATGAGGTGTTGTACGAAATACAGGTACTGCGGCGCAGCATGAATCAGGCGCACAGACGGCGCGGCGAGGCGAAACCGGTGCCATGTTTATTATAAACTCCTATGCGGCTTGACACATAGGCGGCGGAACGGGGAGGACACCGGGGCACCTTGCCCCCCCCCCTTTGATTTTGGCATTTTAACATAAGCCCTATGGGCGTTGCATGGAAAGAATGGGACCAAACGTCGGCGTTGCCCCCCCCCCCTAATTAAAGGTGTTCCGCCGCTACTGGCTTAACATATTGACTAACAAGCAATTATTTTAGTTTTTCAAGCGTATATTGATAATGCAGCCAATATACCTCCCATAGCTAAGTTGGTAGAGCATTGGACTCCCGGTAGTGAGTCCTGGGCACGGGTTCGAGTCGCTCCGGCGCCCAAAATTTTAGAGATGGTCTGCGATTGGTGGGAGCAGACGCAGCCAGTTCATGTCAGCTAAATGGGGCAGGCCGTGTCCGACTACGATGCGCATTTTAATCCTTGTCATCTAAATAGGACGGTAGGGGTCTGGGCCTGTGTAACAGCTCCGTGTAGGGTGGGTTCAAGCTCTGTCAATCCGTGCATTGAGACATTCGAGCTAAATTTAAATGCAAGAAAAAAAAAACATTAGGCACGACTTGGAAGCATAGGTTGTCAATCGAACATATTTATATCAACCCCATGTCATTCTGTGAATGAAACGCAACAGCATACCACGATTTATGAAGATATTCACATATGCTTATCATAAAGCTATCGAATACAATGTGCATACACCTAGCTAGGGATGAAACGAATCGAGCAGCACATACAGAAAATCGACACCTTACATCCATCTTATCAAATAGTGGAAGCGTATTTATTTGGACCTGCACTTCGTTTTGGTCGTTTTTAGTGATTCTGATGCTGAATGCAGTAGCAATGCCCTCTGATTGGCTATTTCATAACGCACTGCAATGCATTGTAACCGCGACACATAGACCTGCATACCGTATCTACCATACACACATTGAGTAGTCATTTCTAAATGGCTATACAGTCACTTATGACGTCCTGCCACAGCCAACCTGGCCCCACCGCTGGATACAATGTCTACAATGGCTCGAAAGTCGACAGAAACTGCGATTGCGAACTACGGTGCGATATCCAGCTCCATCTCTGGCACGCGCGGTATCTCAAACTCATCCAGTTCCTCGCGCTGTTTGTCGAGGAAGTGGTTTATCTCGATGACTCGGTCTCGATTCCTCTTCTCCTCCTCTTGTAGCAGGTTCGCGATGGTGTTCTGCAGCCATGTCTTGACGCGAGACGTCATGCGGTCCTCCCTCCCGTCCAGCACCTGCAGGTGGAAGTCGTGCGATCCGGTGACCAGCGACATCACCACCTCCTTGTCGGTGAAGAGCTCGGTGGTCTCCGGAGGCATGTCCACGTCCTCGTCGTTCCTGATGACCTTCTCCAGGACATGGAGCGCCAGCTCGGTGACCTGCTCCGTGTAGCCGGCCTCGAGGTCACGCACCTGGGCGAACAGCGCCTGGGTCGCCTCCAGCATGCTGGACACCATATCGGTGAGGTTCCTGCCGAACTCCTGGATGACCTCCTCTAAGCCGTCGTTGAGTACCACCTCGCTGCCCATCAGCTGGCTCCAGAGACTCTGGCAGCGGTCCCGGTACGCCTGGATGGCAGTGTCGATCGCCGCCTCGGTTTCATCATTGACGCCGGCTACCTCGGCCATCTCGATGGCCGCCGCGATGTCTCCCAGCAGGGTCTCCTTGTCCGTCAGAAACTCGTCCATCCGACCCACAGCCTTCTCCTGATCGGAGTCGCGGCCCTCCTTCAGACACCTGATGAGCTGACTGAGCTCCTCCGCTCGCTGCTGCTCCTTCTCAATACCCACGTCGAATATCTGCTTGCAGATGGGTACCACCTGTGTCTTCAGCGTCTCGCGTAGTTCTTCAGCGCCCTGCATATGATACAAATGGTCACCATCTTTATCACCGTCAAACATTTCGTCAAACAGCTGCCCCTCACTCAAGCCTTCCACGAAAGCCTCCCTGTATCGCTCTTCCTGCTCTTGCTGCTGTTTCTGCTTCTCCTTTTCAAACTCATCTCGATGCTCTAGAAGATCCATCTCCTCGATCTCGTAGCTGTGCTTCTTCAATCCCTGCTGACGCCACTCGTCTTGCACTAGTCGATAGTCCAGATAGGTGAGGTGTGGCAAGAACGCTCCGATGTAGCTCTTGTACTCGGGATGCTCTGCCACGGGGTTCCCTGCCAGTCCCAGAGAGCCCAGTGCCCCCAATGTCCTCAGGTACAGCACATTCTCGAGCCTGTCGATGCAGTTGTTACCGATTGAGAGCACTTGAAGCTTTTGCTGTTTGTCCAAGTTCTCCAACACAGATATCTTGTTGCTGTACAGACTGAGATCTTCAAGGTGGATAAGCTGGTTCAAGTTTTCTATTTTCTCGATGCGGTTGAACGATAGATCCAGCCATTTCAGATTGGGCATGTAGAAGATGTTTTCTATCCTTTCAATGATGTTATTATCTAGCTGCAACTTCGTCAGAGACGTAAATTCCCACAGGTTATCAATGCGCAGAATCTTGCGATAGCTCAGTGAGAGCTCTTTTACGTCCTTAAAACGCACTGGTTCGTGCTCAACAATAGTTTCCGCCTCACCTTTTGGGCCCTGCTCCAGCACAGCAGCAGAGAGAAGACCATGACAAATCACCACAGGATCGTCTCCCAAATACAGGTTGTTCATCTTGATCGCAGCACGGTATGGCTACCCAAACTGTTCTGTCTCGATTTGGCTATTACCACGAGGATAGCACACTTAGCCGTTGGATCGATAACGTTATCGATCAAACAGCGCTAGCTCACAGCGTGCAGATATTCAACAAGTGAACGGAAACAGACGAAATGGCGCCGGTGGTTTTGTTTGTGTTCCCATGGCAACCTTCCTAGGGCTCCAGTGGCTCCATCGCTTCGCTGCCAACTTTTCAGTTTTTCGCAAGCTTCATTTTTTCACCGTTCGGTCAGCCTTTGCAATAAAGCTTTAATAAAACATGTAGTATTTGTCAAAGCATTATTTTACTAAAGCGACAAGCTAGTGACATATCTACCACTCCTCCCTTCGACTTAATTCAAACACCTAATATGCTTCTTTTCTGAAGAGTTGATTCAGTCCTACCATATGTAGAGCTGAAAAGCGGGGCACCTGCCTGGGGTAGGTAAATGAGGGTACCCTGAGGTTCCTGACTGCTTCACACAAGGCGAGGACTGTAATCGTTTGTCGGAACTACGTCAGCGAATGATTTCCTCGAAACTAGTCATCAAAACTTGCAAATGAAATAAAACATGTGCAGATAGGGGCGATCAACGCCAGTCGCCGAATAGCTTACCCAGCGACCATGAACATTGATCGTGCTTCCCAGAAGTCGCATATTGATTTAGATATTCTGATAAGTCGTAAGCCATGAAGCGATTCTCAGAATATTAAAAATCCAGCCCTCGCTATGACTTACGCATGGGCAGCACAGGACAATTCATGCAAAAGGAAAAATATGATGCACGTATCCCAACTGCTATCAAGCGGTTTAAATGAAGACGTTATCATTCCCCTCCCAACCCACACGGTCCACTGTTCCCATTTCTCTCCAGAGATGTCGCTAGTGGTACCGCAGCGCCGGCGGCCGGGGCTGGCTCGGAGCCCTCGGCTCGCATTCCCGGCGCCGGCAGCAGCCAGTTTATTTTTACCGGGTGTATTTTGTTTGGGGTCGGTGCCAAGCGCTGCCGCTGCTGCCGGCCGCTCTGGCCACCGTCCTCGACTGTGGCCCCCCCTCTCCTGACCCCTCCCCACCGCCCACGGACGGACCCTGGGGCGCGGGGCCCGGGTCAGGGCGTGGGGTACCACCGGCAGCCTTGTCCGGTGTCCAAGTCCAGTGCCCCTTGCATAAGATGAGCGTGTTTAATAGGACTTCGACAGAAAACGCCCACGATTCGCTGACGGCTGAACTAACGGAACTAATTACGAGCTTAAAGAGCCGTGTTCTCTTGCTCAATGAACACTCCGGACAGCTTTCATAACTTATAAGTAAGTTTTCGAAAGAAAGTACCTACAACTCTTGTAGTGGTTGGTTGTGTTATAAATCTGCTCAACTCGCTTCATTATCATAGTCTGTGAGGAACGAATCAACTGCAAGTCCCAACACATGTATAAACGAAGTTTAATACGCCAAATAATGAAATTGACGAATAAAAACTTTTCAAGCAGGATGGTGACCTGGGAATATATGTCCTGTTGTGTGTCATGGTGCGATTCAGATTGCTCATTGCTATTGTGTGTAAGTCATGCATTATGTAATCCACCAGGCATCCGAATAGCCTCATTCACTGGCTAAAATTTAAGAGTATCTCTCACTGGGCTCAGAAAAAAAATGCCCAGAAAACGGGAAAAAGATGTTGTGACTTATTATAAACGATATGCTCTCAATTCGGTTGTAAAATTTATCCATCAATAAGGACAAAGTGTCGTAACAAATCTAGGCAATAATACGCCAACGCATGACATCACACAACGCCCGGAAAGAGGCAACAGGAAGACAGCAGAGGGTTATTCAATTTCACGCAGTCCTATTCACGAGTCCAAACGGCAACGTTTGATGGCCTCTATTGATTTCGCTATTTACTGGACGAAAAAAGCGGTCCAACAATTTCCAAAATGGTTTGTGTGAATGTTCAAAATTCGTCTCCCACTTGTCACAGAACGACCAAATGGTCTATGGATACGTTTTGGAAATGTTAGTGTTCTGAACCATATCGAGCTTCTTTTCTTAATGTCAACCATCTTTCAAGAGCATCGCTTTGAACGTACGCCATTCGATGAGAAGCCTTCTCTAACTTTCCACGTAAAACGCAAGTAAAATGGACATCGTCGCTATATTTGCAATACTACAACCTCTATCAGCAGTAGTTCGGCAGTAGCAGCACAAACGAAATGGAACAAATTGATCCCAGTCTCGTTTGGCCGTAGCTGGGCAGCCCATCGTCGGGCCCTATCTCGAACAGTTCCGGGTGAGCGCTGGCCGTCACCGGACGGCGCCCTGGCGGTGACCGTCCAGACCGCTGACGTCGGCGCCGTCGCTGGTCGGCCGCCGCCCTCTGACGTGCCTCTTGGCTCAGCCGGCCGTCAGCCATTTCAGAGTTTGTTTGTTCACCGGAATGCGGGGGCTGGGACAACAGGTCAGGAAAGCTACCTCCGCTACCAATGCAGGGATGAGGTCATTGAAAAAACGACAATTTTGAATAATAGGTAAACGGAGGAAACAGTTGCAAAGGACATTCATCAAGGACCTGAAACGATGGTAAACCAGCGCGATTATGCAATACAATTTAAAGTGACAATAGGCAGAAAGGCGGAAACACTTGAGAATAAACCAATCATCGATTTGAAACCAATCTTTTAGATCCAAACGTCGCTTATTCCGGTGGTGCGCTTACCATCGCTGAAAATATGATGCTGAAAGTTAAAACGTTTCACTCTTTCACCTACGCCCTGCTGGCGGCGGCTTTTCTGCCGTCAGTTACGGTGCCGTTCAGTACCATCATCTGTGCATATTTTTTCTAAAGTAAGCATTTTCTGCATAGTGCTACGTAGCAATGTTCGTCCCAGTATGACTGTGCATTTTGTAATATATGATGGTTACGTAACCTAAAGAGGTGTATGGAAATAGGACAAAAAAAGGAATACGGTCGGTGCTCGGTAGTAAAAAAAAGAATCACGATTAAATCTTAAGGATGATCAATAAATAAACTGAAGGCAATTTATTTCAACTAATTATTTCATCTTACTAATACAGTTACCAACTTCCATCCAAACGTCTTTTAGGGTCATACAATTCCGCTTCGATAATGTATTGTTTTTTTTACTGAAAGTTTCGCAATATGAATTTCTCCGCAGTTCATATGTTTGTTTCTGGAAGGTGCTCACTGTTCAATGACGGTACACGGTCGTTGGCAACAACACGGTGTAACCAAAGCCGGCAAAAACCGCGCCACTGTTGTGTCTACAGCCGATGTGGGCTGCTGGCTCTGCGTTTTTGCCGCTGTCCATCCCCCGCCGCCGGTTTTCGTTGGCTGCTGAGGGTCTGTCGGATCAGAGTCGGGCGTAGGCTGCAGCCCCCTCTCACGGTTCGCCCCTAACGCTCCGCTTAGCCATAGCTATCCTATACCGGTGTCAGCGAAGGCGGCGGGGCCGTCCGTCGTCACAGCCATTACTGCGAAATGAGCCCTGAGGCGATTCAGACCGACGCCATCCGTCAGGGTACACGTCACGGGGTCGGACCAGGCGTCATCGAGCGCCGATGACCGGGGCGGACACGGGGTCACGGAAACTGAGCTGGCAAGGCGGACTCACGGTGGCGTGGTATCGTGACAAAGGCATAGTGATGACTGACCAGGAAAGTGTAGAAAGGGCCACCCAGCTTGTGCTGTTAAATCTGATGGGAAGTGGTTTCAGCCATCCTTCAATGGGTACGAAAATTTTGCGATAAATACACCGCAACGTATGATTATGGTCACGACTCCCGTGTGCATGAAAGGCTCAGCGAATCTAAAATGCTAAAAAACTGTTCACAAATGATCATGATTTGAAAATGTACCAATGCCATTGGTACATTTTCATCTGGATGCAGTGGAGAGGACTGTTTTGACTTTTGAGTCACGCCGGCTGATCCAGGGCCCAGGCCACCACATTTGTGTCTGTTGTCTCAATCCGGAGCCATGGCTCCTGCCGCGCTCTGTTGTCCCAAGCAGAAGTCATGGGACCCGCTGCCGTGTCAGTCGGGTCGCGGCCGCTAAATAACGTACGGACCGCTAATCACGGGAAATACCGTTGGCAGCGCGCCGAACGGGAGCGGCCGACGTGTCTCGTCGTCCCGACTTCGAATTTGAACGAGTGCCAGCTCACGGGGACGGACGATTCTCCTCATCCTATCTCTATCTGAACCCTTTCAGCTGAACCCCGTATACCCAAAGCGAGTGCTTATCTCACGATGCGTGTCAGAGTGCTTTGAGAGAAAACTTCGCAAACGCCTCCAAAGCGATCACAGCCTGATTTCCGACCGAGGTTCTCTGATCGCTGCTCAGGTTAGCAGCGGTGACCGGGGGTCAGGTGGGGGGAGGCCGGGTCCGTGGGGTCAGCGTGGCCGCCGGACAGCGCCGCTGGCTACCGGCTCAGCGGCCGTCGAATCCGCCTCCGCTGTCGCTGCCGCCGGCGATCTATTTGTGTTCTTTGACAATCCTGCGCGTGTCTCCGTCCAACTGTCCATGTTCGTCGGCTCTAAAGTTGGCGAGCCGGCGCCGTGTCCGGTTTCGACCCCGGTGCACGCCAGTCGGCACTCGGGTTGCACGGCGAGCAGCTGCGAACACGGAAGGTGCTTTGTGCCTGTGAGCTGACGGCGCTATCGAGCGGTGCCGGTTTAGTTCGGACCAACCGGCGGGCCGGGTGCCGCCGGCGTCGGCCAGCACTCGTCCTCCGCCTCCGGCCGTGCGCGCAGCTCCCGACCGGCCGCGCCGCGCCACTGATCGCCGCCCGCGCGCCGGCCGCGCCCCGTACACAGTGACAGAACGTGCTGCAGAGAGCGCCGCCGACCGTCACAGCAGCCCGGCCATCATGAGCGACCAGCAGGTGGCCAACATCGCGCCCAGCGGTGAGATCACCAAACAGCAGAGCTCGCAAAGCGAGTCCTCGCAGAGCTATGCGATCCCGGGCGGCGAGGCCCACGAGCAGTCTCGGGACGCGTCCCGGCTCATGGAGGCCAACATCCCCGGCGGCCAGATGAAGCAGCAGACGCAGGAGCACCAGTTCGCCAAGCAGGCCGAGGCCGTGCAGGAGACGCCTGGCGGCGTGCAGCGGACCAGCGAGGCGGCCGCCGCTCAGCAGCAGGTCAGCCAGTCGGTCAGCAACAGCCAGACACAGGGCGCCGACGGCAGCATCAGCACCCGGCGCGTCACCTCCAAAC